AAAGAAGTAGATCGGGTCCAACGACCTATCTAATATGTTAGTAAGGTGTTGTAGGGTGCAGAGACGAGATATCCAGAGATAGAAAAGCTGGCCTGGCCTACGCACTGGTTATTGCAGCCCGAAAACTCCATTCGTACTTCCAAGCTCATACTGTTGTCGTCCTCACCAACAAACCTCTGAGGCAAGTTCTGCTCAAGCCCGAGGTCTCTGGTCGACTGACGAAGTGGGCCATTGAGCTCAGCGAGTATGACCTCCAATACAAGCCACGAACTGCTATCAAGGCCCAAGCCTTAGCAGACTTCGTCGCGGAATGCACTTTCAGCTCCGAAGTCCCCAGGCCAGTTGAGCATGAGGCCCCCCAGTTCGGGTGAGCCCGAAGCTCCCAGGCCGGTTGAGTCCGAGCATCGTGAGGTAGCAACCAGTGCGGCATCTCTCCTAGTTAGGCCAAGAGTGAACTGGGATGAAGAGCCCTAGATCCTTAACGTAGATGGCTCCTCAAACCAGTAGGGCAGCGGAGTAGGAATCGTTCTGTACGGCCCAAGTGGCACAAAGTTGGAGTACGCACTATGCTTCGAGTTCGCGGCATCCAACAATGAAGCAGAGTACGAAGCGTTGATAGCCGGGCTGGCTCTAGCCAAAGAAGTGAAAGTCAAGCATATCATCATCTGCAGCGATTCCCAGCTCGTGGTCAATCAAGTCACAGGCGAATACGAAGCTCGCGAACCAACTATGATTACCTACTTAACCAAAGTAAGAGAGGCTCTGCTCAACTTCCAGTCACACTTCATCATGCAAATCCCGAGGTCGGAGAACGTTGAGACCGACGCCTTGTCCCGGTTAGCCAGCACTAGTGATAATACCATGAGAACCGTGTACGTAGAAAACATGCCTCAGCCTAGCATTCTCGGGGGGGCAAAGGAGGTCGCTCCTGTCGTTCAAGCAGAGCCAAGCTGGATTGACCCACTTGCGAGCTTCCTGCTACACGAGACCCTCCCTGTAGATCGCAATGCTGTCAGAAGGGTAGAGCGTCAGGCGGCCAAATACGTCATGATAGACGAATGGCTGTACCGAAGATCCTACACGCTCCTCTACCTGCGCTGCTTGCGACCTTCCGAAACCGGGCTCGTGCTCCATGACACTCATGAGGGCCTGTGTGGCGAACACTTGGGGGGAAGGGCCCTCGCCCAAAATGCGCTACGACAGGGGTACTACTAGCCAACAATGAAATCAGATGCTATTGAGCTTGTCAGAAAGTGTGACAAGTGCTAGAAGCATGCTAACATCCACCATCAGCCCACTGCCGACCTCAAGTATCTCACCTACCGCACAAAAGCAGTTATCCCAGCCGAGATCGAGGTTCCCTTGCTACGACTAGAAGTGTATGACGACAAGGCAAAGGAAGACGAGATACATACCAACCTCGACCTACTCGACGAAGTAAGGGACCTTGCATATATCCGGACCACAGCCTACCAGCAAAGAGTAGCTCGGTACTATAACGCTAGGGTCAAGAAGAGAAACTTCCACATTGGCGACTAGGTCCTTCGTAAAGTTATGGTACCTGAGCCCGGGGTTGGCAAGCTCGGACCGAATTGGGAAGGACCCTACCTTGTGAAACGGGTGCTCGGGGAAGGAACATACGAGCTCGAAATCCTAGAAGGGAAACAAGTACCTCGGGCATGGAATATTGTCAACTTAAGGCAATACTACCTATGAACAACTGAGTAGACAACGAGTAACTCTCAGAGCCTAAGGTCCAAAATGCCGAGCTAACAATGACCTCGGCGCGATAAGACCCAGTCGCCTCTATGGCATGGGCGAACTACTGAGTAGACCACGAGTCGCTCTCAAAGCCTAAGGGCCAAAATGTCGAGCTAACGTAGACCTCAACGCAATAAGACCCNGTCCACTACCCCCATGATGACGTGCTCGTCATAAAGATGAAGATCAATGACTTTGAAGTCAGGCGCGTCCTCGTCAACTCAGGCAGCTCAGCAGACATCCTCTTCAAAGCAGCCTTCGACCAACTTCAGCTCCAAGAGAATGACCTGAAGCGCACGAACACTCCCCTAGTAGGCTTCAACGGAGAGGAAGTCAAGCCCCTGGGAAGGATTACAGTACCTGTCGAAGTCGACACTTGTCCTAGCATAGTGAGGCTCAACCACGATTTCTTAGTGTTCGCAACCCCCTCCCCGTACAATGCCATAGTAGGTCGGCCGATCATCCATGCCTTACGAGCTGTGGTATCCACCTACTACTTGGCTATGAAGTTCCCCATGGACTTCGGAATCGGGATAGCGCGAGGTGACCAACTTGAGTCTCGCAAATGCTACGTCGCCGCCCTCAAAGGGAAAGCCAAGGTGGCCGAGGACCTCGAGCTGGAGCGACCTACGGAGCAGTGCAAGGAGCGAGCTGCACCCACGAAAGAGACCGTCTCCAACCCGGCATCGGCAGAGGACCCGACCCAGACACTTCAGATCGGTGCTTTCATTGAGGAGCCTCTACGATCTAAACTGGTACACTTCTTACTTAAAAATTTAGATGTTTTTGCATGGTCTGCAACAGAAATGCCCGGAATAGACCCCAGCATTATAACTCATAAGCTTAATACTAATCCTGTAGTTAGGCCCGTTAGACAGAAGAAACGCAACCTAGCCCTAGAGCGATGGAGGGTAGTCGATGAGGAGGTCGGGAAGCTCCTTGCAGCCAATTTTATCAGGGAAGTCCATTACCCGAGCTGGGTGGCCAACCCCATTCGGGTAAAAAAGGCTAACGGTAAATGCCGCATGTGCGTTGACTACACTGACCTAAACCGAGCTTGCCCAAAGGACTGCTTCCCACTCCCTAGGATCGACTGTCTGGTGGATGCGACCTCGGGGCATGAGTTGCTGAGTTTCCTAGACGCCTATTTGGGCTACAACCAGATCAGGATGGACCCAGCCGATGAAGAAAAGACTGCCTTCATAACCGAGCTTGGCCTGTACTGCTAAAGGTCATGCCCTTTGGGCTAAAAAATGCCGAGGCAACCTTTCAAAGACTTGTAAATAATTTGTTTGAGCCATTGATTAGCCAAAAAATAGAGTGCTATGTAGACGACATGGTCATCAAAACCCAGTTTTCACATGAATTAATACAAGACTTGAATTCAGTTTTTGAAATTCTGCGTAGATTTAACATGAAGTTGAACCTAAATAAGTGCGTCTTTGGTGTCACCTTGGGTAAGTTCCTAGGGTACATCATTAACCGGCGCGGCATTGAGGCTAACCCGGACAAAGTAAAGGCCATCCTAGACATGAGACCACCCTGAAAAATGAAGTAGGTTCAGAGGCCGAATAGATGCTCTGAGCCGCTTCATGTCCAAGTCAGCAGACCGCTGCCTACCTTTCTTTAAAGCAATTAAAAGCAAAGGGTTTGAATGGACCCAAGATTGCCAGCTCGCGTTTGACGAGCTCAAAAAGTACCTCGCTAGCATACCGGTCTTAACCCGGCCCAAGGAGGGCGATGTTTTAGAGCTATACCTCTCAGCAAGTGACGGAGTGGTCAGCTCGGTACTAATAAAAGAGGTAGATCGGGTCCAACGACCTATCTACTATGTTAGAAAGGTGTTGCAAGGAGCAGAGATGAGATATACGCAGATAGAAAAGCTGGCCTACGCACTGGTTATTGCAGCCCGAAAGCTCTGTCCGTACTTCCAAGCTCATACTGTTGTCGTCCTCACCAACAAACCTCTGAGGCAAGTTCTAATCAAGCCCGACCCCTTGAGACGGTGACACATGACATGACTCAGCACAAGTAACAGCTCAGCACCACAGCCTAACCGCGACTAAGTAACGAGCCCACAGGACAGCTCGCTGCGTCACAGCTCGCCATAGGGTGAGCTTGCTACAGCACGAGCTTGAGGACCCCCGATGTACTGAAAGGGAATACTCCAAGATAAGTCTATCCCAGCTTGCGAGCTAAGATAACCAGCTCGCTCCAACACTTAGGCAGAAAAACTACCCTAAGGGCAACCTTAAGAGGAATCACCTCGAAGTACCCCTGGGAGCTCGCTACAAGGTAGCTTGCAATAGAATAGCTCGCTACAAGGCGGCTCGCTACGAGATAGCTTGCTACTAAGCGACACGACGTTTTCAGGAAGCTTCTATCTGACAAGATCGTACCCGTCAGACTGCACCACGTCTCCTGACTGACGGTGCAGTCCCTGCTAGCCCGACAGACTGCGCCCACGTCTCTCGACAGATGGTGGTGTGTCTATCCTTTCGGGACGTGTCACTTATCCGATTGGATAGTACTCTGCAACGGTTACCTGCGCAACCCTGGTAGATAACGACTACGACAGAGGTCCAGTGGCGGTTACGCCCGATTTAACAAGAACGCCCATATTTAAGAGCCCCTTGGTCGAAGGGGAAAAGGTATCTTGAGTATCTTGAACATTTTGAATATATCCGAACTCTCTCTCTCGAGCTAATCTCGAACATTCAGTGATCTAGCGTGACCTACACTCTTAGCCATCTTTGCACTCTTTACTACTTTCTCCAGCGTTCTAACTTAAGCATTGGAGTATTCCCACCGGGCAAGTCCCCCAGGAATCCTTCACCGTCTTCATCTCAGGTACCGTCCGTCGCCAGCTAAGAGCCGGTCAGCTACCAGCTAGGAGTGCTCGGATTGCGCAACATCAAATGTCAAGAGAGATATTCCTAATACGCACAACTGTAATGGACTATAGGCAGTAGAGGTGAACAAATAATGTGTAGCAAATCCGAATCCAGAATTTCAAGAGTGCAGATATGCTACTCACACGACCTCACAGCCACAGCCTACCATCTATCTCGAACATCTCCCGTATTTATTTGTTATTATTGGGAAATGTTCGGAATGCACGGTGGGATGTATCTGTGAGGTCGATGTGAGGTGCGCTACGTAAGCAGCAGATCCCAATTGTAATTTCAATAGTACCATTCCATATATATTGGTTTCCCCCTAGTACACGGGGGTCTTTCGTGATTTGCCGGGACTACTACGTCTGTCCAGCACAGCGGCGTCCGGCAACCAGTTCTCTCTCTCTCACACAAAGACATGCAGACGCAATGAGATTCATTCAACAGCGAGAAGGGTTTCGCCCCAAATAATACCGAATCCATTTGCAGCTTTGGGCGCTCAACAAAGAAAAAGACAACCATCAACGCGGTTACATTGGAGAGAGGTACCATTCCATTCCTTTCTTTCGGTTCCCTTCTTCCCTTACTCTGCACCCCTGTAAGGCTGTAACATCTTGAAAGTTTGCCCTTTGAATTTTTAATTCTTGCTTTTGATTCACCAATTGAGAAAAAAAAAACATTGTCTTTGATTCATGGCTGTATCACTAAAAATGATCTGCTTTACCCAAAAAAGGGTTTGAAGTGCTTTGCTCAAAACTAGAAATGAAAATAAGTTTCAAATTGAAACTCACGGTTCAGTTTAAAGGTTAAAGGTCTCATATATCTTTTTTCTTTTACCTGATCTCTTACCAAAAAAAAGTCTGAATATGATAATTGTACTAGTTCTAAATAAAACACCACCAAATTGATTTGGCTTTGGTGTTCTTGGAATTTTACTTAACCTGGAAAACAAGTCTGAATTCGGGTCCCTGGTGGGGGAACCCGTCTCCATTGGGGTCGGGGATGGAGGATCTGTTTTCTCATCGGCCGACGGGGATTGGGGATGGGGATGGGAGTATAGTCCTCGCCCTGTTGTTGCTATTTCTAGATCTTGTAGATGCTTGTTGGGTAAAATTATGATCCAATTTTAATGGATCTTTCACTAGAAATAGGAAAAGGGAGAATCTCAAATTTGAAAGATAAAAAAAAAGGAGAATTTGAATGAACATAACTTCCGGGTCTTTTTTTCTATTCTCTCTTAAAATCTAAATGCTAGTTTGTCTCATGCTTCTACCGATAGTGATTATAACCATGTGATCATGATCGTTAATTTCAATAGGCAGGAAAAACTTGTAATTTGATGTTTAGAATCATCTGAATGACGGGACACTTTTGCTTGTGCCCAATCCAAGATAGGGCATGACATTTTGGACGATATGGATTGATGACCACATATAGTCTATCACATGTATGTTATTCACATTGAAGAACAAGTTTATGCCTTTTCTTTGGTTTATGGTAGTTGGGACTTGGAAATTTGTTCAGTGTTTTAGGGTTCCTTGTCTGTGGACTTTTCCTCTGTTATAAATTATTTACTTTTATCTTTATGGAGTTGTCATTAGATTCTGCTAACTCTCTGTCCTGGTAAATGTCTGTCAGTGCCATCAGATATCATGGACGAAGTTGTACAGGCTGTTGAGAAGGTTAAAAAAGAGTGGGACGAGACATTTGAACGAGCCCAAAAGCATGTTAAAGCAGTTGAGGAATATGGTAAATCAGGAACTGGTAGTAACAAAGGGAATTCTCTTCCAAGACTAAATGGCCTTGCACAGGATGAGTTGGCTTTACTTAGATCTTTTCAGTTTAGACTTGATCTTCTTGCCCCACAGCTGCCCACTGAAGAAGAAATACTATCTGCTCAATCAACATTAGAATATTGGAAGATTCAATATCAGAGGTCCGTATCTTCCTCTTCTTCTGTCTTTCATGCAAGGCTCAATCTCAAGTATTGGACCTTTGAGCTGCCTGGATTTTATATTTTCAATATTCTGTTTTTTTTCTCCACCTGTTTCCAAATATTTATCTGGGAATATTTTATTATGGGTCTCTTGTGTTGAAGCTTGTTAAAGACTTGGTTTCCTTTCTCATGATGCTTGTTTTCCTGTGTGATCAGTTTGCATTTGGGCCTAAGGAATGCCAATTTGAAAGCACAGGCCAATGTAAGGAAAGCTGCTCAGGCAGAGGTAATATACTTCCTTTATCTGAATTTTTGATAGATTTGTCTATGTAGAAATGCAAGTTTATTCTTTAGGAGATTTAATTGGGTACTTCTTTACCTCATGATTTTGGGTGTTCTTTTTTCCTCTCAGCAACTTTATGCAGTGTTGATAACTTAAATTTGCCCAGAGGAAAAACCTTTCCTTTTCCTGGTTTGGGCAGATGAGTTTTCTGAGAAATAGAACTTGGCTAGGTTGTTGAAATTTAGTTTTAGGATTCCTGTAACAGATGATTTGGTGTCTTTTGTAATTTCATAACATAGATCCATGGTGCTTAGAAACCAAGTCTGTGGGTTTCTGGGTTGTAATTAGATTTTTGATGATGTTGGGCATTTCTTTCTTTTACTGTTTACCTTCTTGACTATTCCCAGTCCTGACATTTGATTTGGATGATGACAGAGGGAACTTCTTTTAGGAGGTGGAGGAGAGTCCACAATTCGCCGGCGAAATTTGCAGTATGTATTATGATCTGTTTGTGTGAGGAGATCTTTCCATAAAGATGAAATATTGGAGAACTTGAGCATGCTATACTTATACTAGGGACTTACATAGCTGATGTTTATCTCTAGTCTGATGCATATGTTCTTGTAAGAAACTTTATTGAGTGTACTATTGTACCTGTGCTGTTAAACAGAATATGTTTTTTTTTCTTCTTTTATTTATCTGCATTATACTTGTTGTATGACCCTTTCTTGCTGGATCTCTTTTAACTGGCAGGCACAGATATTAAACATCAATGATGTGGCCCATGTGGGACAAGTAGACTGATCTATGAAGAACTTATGATGTATGCCAATACTGATCCAGAAACCATATCCTGCATGGCTAGATTAGGTCAACACACCACTTGGTGACTAAATTTAATGTATGACAATCCTACATATAGACTGTAATCATTCATGGAGAGTGGGAGACGAGAGAGAGAGAAAGAGAAGGAGAGGAAGATACGATTGAGAGGAAAAGAAAAAACTATCTCTGGCTGCCGTCAGTTCATTATTTATATTAACTTAATAAAAAGAATAGAAATTACAAGTATGCCCCTGACGGCACACCCTAGAAACAAACTAATAAAAAAGAAGGAAAAATAACTAATTGACAGTATCTTAAGAGGACAACATACTAACAACAACTATAAAGTAACAATTAAATAAGCCTTACAACACTCCCCCTCAAGTTGGGCTGAATATGTCTATCATGCCCAGCTTGTCACATAACTCATTGTGCCGCGAGTATGGAAGCCCTTTTGTGAGGACATCAG